TGTAGGTGGATGCAGACTAGGCAGTTGGGGTCCTCTGGACAAGAGGAACCAGTGTTTGTAGACTCTAGGCGATATGTCTCAGAACTCGTGTCACTCACTGGTGCCGATGTATGCACATGTTATGCTCATCTGAACCACCGTACTTAATCACATCATTTTCTCGTTCGGCCTTCCTCTTGTTTACCACTTTCTGCTTCTTTTGATCGAGTTTTCTTTCCTTCTTCATCTCCCTTTTATTACCTTCTGACTTTATGTGCTAATACGAGGTGTGACAAATTGGACTGTCACACAGTCTTGCCTGATCCTATGTTGCGCTTGATGATGATGAAGTATAAACCGTTACAACTGAAATACGATTGTAGTAAACGAGAGGAAGGCCGAACGAGAAAATGATGTGATTAAGTACGGTGGTTCAGATGAGCATAACATGTGCATACATCAGCACCAGTGAGTGACACGAGTTCTGAGACATATCGCCTAGAGTCTACAAACACTGGTTCCTCTTGTCCAGAGGACCCCAACTACCTAGTCTGCATCCACCTACATGCCTCAAACCAACAGTCAAGGACTTCATGCACTGAGTGATGCCATGTTTTAGTCTGGTCACGCTCAACCTTTACCTTTATCCAACCTGAACCTACTCAGGCCAACATTGTGTGACGAGACAGACGGTGACTAGCCACACGTAACACATTTCCCAGTCATCTCAGACGATGAAGATTCACAAGCTTGTCAAATGACTTACTTACCTCTTCTCCCTAAAACTCTGTGCCTGACTTCTGCCTTACTCACGTGGTGACATCACGAAACACGGAGTGTGCTACCAAGGCAAGGCAAGGCAACGGTGATCAAACACCTGAAACCTTCTCATGTCTTCTACCTTTATTGGCCATGTTTCACAGCCATATACAGTAGGACAGAGCACAGTTCACTCAACCTCTAATAGATAATCGGATATTGTGGTGGTTGTACAGATGGCGTAATTTGGCAAAAGTCAACCGAGCCTTTTGTATCCGTGTAGTATATCATATCAGTATATGTATAGTTCAACTCTTTTCGTCAATTCTATTGTTGTCTATAGTACTTTCTAATCAAGCGAAACGGCAGGAACAATTCAGAACCTTGTAAAGTGCTGTATCACTCCAGGCTATCATTATTATTTCCATCAACACTACATGGCAATATTGAGAGGAAGGAAAAGAAGAGGATGTCCAAAAATAGTGTTAAACAAGTATGGTTATGCTGCTAGTCACAGTATACACTCAAGATATAGAAGACTTCAGTCAGTAGCTTTCGTCTTCTTAGTGTATCCGCGGTGACATTCAGGTCGAACTTATTAGTTACAAAGTCATTTATCACAGGTGTTTATCTTTCTTTACTCATGTGTACCATTGAAGTTTTTGTCTGTAATCTTTCAATGGAGTTTGCAAAATACTACAACGACACTGCACAGATTCATGTAGATAAGCAGCGTCCAATGGTGGACATTTATTTCCCAACAGAAGCAACGAATGTGAAGAAAGCAGGATATGCTGAAATCATAAATCTCACTACAACTTATCAACGGGATAGTCTATATAGTTGCTTATATATACCATTAGGTAGTCAGTACAGGGTAACAGATATGCATACATGACACAAAGTGAGGCGTAGTAATAGCATGGATAGGAACAACTTTTAAAAGGCTACAGTGAATGTTCAATATACATCATATTCAGCTAGATTCGTATGTTCCACTAATCTAACCGACCCTGACTGGCTTATTTGACCTGACAATCATTGGTGGATTAGATTATTTTGGTGAATCGGATGTTAAAGTCGACGACGCTAATCCCTGAGTGAGTTTGTAGGTTTCAATGCCAACCTAATTCCAGCCTTGTTGAGTCTCCTACATAAGGTTTCTGATGTCTCTTCCTTATAAGGTGAGATAACAGAGGCTTTGAAGTCCTTTCTACTCGTATTGTTGTTTTTATCCGTATTCGTATTACTAGTGTCATTTTGTTTCTTATGTGTTTGTACGAATTCCAATTCACTTACGAGGTAGAAAATTACCTACGTTGGATGGTAGAGTTAAGTGAAGAAGTGAGGGTGGTTCAGATTCTGCCATCTGCAGGAAACTGACACATTCTAACAGGTATAGGTATCTAGACTTCAGGTCATCACATTCAATGTCAGTTCAGGCGGGTTTAGCCAACCAGATGTCTAAGCAATAGAGCTAGGAAACTCAGTAATCAGTGCAACAACCTACCTACACAAGGAATTAAAGCGCATAAAAGAAGCGCTATCAATAATTAATAATAATCACCTACAGTTTATTAAGAGATCCGTACGAACACATTCGTCTCGCCATATGACGAAGGATCATCAGAAACTTCACGTATGATTCTCAACATGACTGGAATGAGGGTGGCATCACAACCTACAAACTCACTCAGAGATGAGCGTTGTCAGCTTAACCATTCGATAGATGGATGCCATTAGGCAAAATACTTTAATCTATCAAATTCCATGCAGTGACTGTCACATCAAGTATGTAGGTCAAAGTAGCCAATCAGTCGGGGTTAGTTACATTAACGGAACACACGAATTTAGCTGAATATAAAATGATAGACCGTGATAAGATCAGTAATCTATAAGAACACTCGGTTATTGCAGTGAATGCAATAATACACAAGCACGCAATAAGGTGGGAGATAAAACCACTGTAGTCAAACCCAACATAATTAGATGGAGAGAGATAGATCGATTACTGAATCCTTGTTCATTGAATCAATCAATACCTAACTCAATACATGTAATAGGAGTGATTCAACATGTATACCAGAGATATGGAGAACTTCACTACGAGTAAATACAAATAATATGAGGTGACAGGAGTATGAAAATTGGTCGTTGAAAGTGGTGTGGTTACATTTATACGATTGTGTGAGCAATAATTTATGCTCGAAATATCATCAAGTAAATAGTCCTGGATCACTCTGTGAGGCATATCAAATAAATAAACCTAATATAGGATAGATATAGAATGGAAGTGCATCTGCACCTCTGAGGTCAATCCTCAATAGTATCATATAGTGACTTCAACTACCGAATTCGGTTGTAGTGTTGACCTAACCATGATGTCAACATTCTCCTACACGTCCCAGGCCAACAATCAAAGACTTCATTCATTGATGCCATTTCTTAGCCTAGTAGCCTTTATCCTTTTTCCAGTCTGAACATACTTCAACTGACATTGCATGTCTAGGCGTGTGTAACACATGTCCTAGTCATCTGAGTCGATGAAGGTCTACAATCTCATCAACTAGCTTACCACGTTTATCAAACTCTCCAAACCTAACTTCTAAATGACTGACTACACCACCCAAAGTGAGTTCTACGAAGACAATGTGATTGAACACTTGAAGCTTTCTTATGTCCAAGTTGTATTGCGGATAAGTAACCTGAATTTGAAACTTTATCTAATCAAAAATCAAGTGGAAAGAAAAGGAACCTGTTTATCTCCATTTCGAACGAAGTCAGTGAGCGGTGTGAACCAAGAAAGTCTAGTTTCGAGAGCTGAATTCTAGTAAAACTCTCTACTGGCTTAATACAAAGAAGTATTTTCCCCCCTTCGTTCATTGTGTAGTTGAAACATCCATCATGTCAACCCAGGGTCTGACATTATTGTGTAACAGTCCAGGTTGTTACATGTCGAGATGATGGAATACAAAGGCATGGAGTGATATAATCAAAGAGAGTTATCGAATAAAGTTGAAGCAAATGAAGAAATGCGGCAAAACAGATGAGACGAAGATTAGGAGTAGATGGATTTGCATCATCGAGCTAGATTCTTGACCGTGCCATCCATTATCTTTACATACAGAGTGTAAAACTGAAGGCTTAATCAGTACTAAGTTATTCTCTCTGAAATTTCATAAGCCATACAAATTCATAAATGCAAAGAATATAAACCATTTAACCCTTCAATGATAGATAGTGGTTAACAGTAGGAGCTAGGACGCACTTTTCGTCCTGTTTGGGACTGGTCAGCTGTATATGCCTGCCTCCTCCCAGTGAGTGATGTTGTTCCCACTAGGACTCGAACAAAAAACATCGATCGTTTTCACGTTGGGTACGAATGAGAGGCTGAAAAGAATAGCAGATTAAAACTCACACAAAGTGCTCATAACGCAACAAAAACCAATACCAAAATAATAATCAGGATTTATTCATACTCATGGTATAAAGGAAGTTTAATTAGAGGACTAGGCAGGTAAATATTTTGTCATTCATATATATACACATACAGATACAAAGAATGTGGATGAGCATTACACAAGAGGAATAAGGTGATTACACATTCAAATCGAGGCAAGATAAAAGTCGAGGAAAAATACACATTTTTTTTCAAATATTCAAAGGTGAGCAAGGAAAACTGAAGGAAAATAACTATCTTCTCAAAGTAATTCCCCTACAGGTTAACAAACGACAAAATAAGAAGAGGATAGTAGTAAGAAAAGATAAGAAAGTTGACGTATACCAAGGAAGGATATACACAATGATTTCATTGCCTTGTTCCTAGGAAATAATTGTAATTATCATAGTAAGAATAGGTGATAACATCTAGTTATTTCGGCTACCAAGCAAACAGTTTTGTACAAATAAGTGAATAAACCACCACCAACAACAACGAAAAAAAGTAGATAAATAGAAATTCGTATTCGTATTCACTACCAATAGATAGATCACAGTCAGTTGAGCTGGATAAACACAATTTGTTCAATATTTCAATGGTTGTAATGATAACAGGCCTATTTTCGTTGTATGCTTAAGAAGGTATACACATTATTTATAAGAACATATTGACTCAATTGGGAACTAATTAAAAGGTGAGTAAAAGTTGTCAGTTTCTTTCAGGAATGAATTTTTGTCAATATGTAGCGACTTCTAATCAGAGTTGAGTAACAATAAAACAATTTAACATGGAATGCGTAAAGTGTGAGTAAGATAGTAGGATACGACAAAAGAAAAGGACTAATGAATAAATGAAGGTAGGTATGTAGATGGAGAGAGAAAGAGAGTGGCGATTGAATTGAAATCATACAAAAAACAGCGATCCGAATTCACGTTCCCATATAGGTTGATTAGATTTACTGACTTTTTTAGACGGTTTAATTCCACTGCCGACACTGCTACGAATGAAATTGCCAACAGATGAATTCACACTTGAATTGACTTGATTACTGGATTCATTCAAAAATAGTGGATTATTATCACGTCCTTGAATTTTCTTCGGTCCGTTCATGATTACATCATGTGGATACAATTGGCAGGAGATATCATCAAAAATTTCAGCCATATGTGCACGTACTGAATGTGCCTAGTCAAGATAAGAATGAAAAAAAATTTTTGTTTTATCAGCAAAGAAATATTTATACTGGGTGACGATTAAAGATGAAATGAAAATTTGGGCCGCGGCCAGATTCGAACCAGCGACCGCCGAGGTTCCCACCCGGCACTCTACCAGCTGAGCTACGAGGCCCAACTGATGATCATATTCTTATTTTAGGCGAAATTCTTGGTGATTGAAGTGAAGTAAAGATCTGAACAGCTATCAAGCCTCGTAACTCAGTTGGTAGAGTGCCGGGTCGGAACCCCGTGGTCGCTGGTTCGAATCTGGCCGCGGTCCAAATTTTTATTTCACCTTTAATCCAGTCTGCCAAATCACAGCTATCTCAGATAGTCAAAATGATAAAGAAATATTTCTTTTCAACGCGAAATGAAAATGGTCAAATAAATAAAAAGGAAAACATGGAGAAATGAATAGTTGTTTTTTCTCCTGGTTTTACTTAATTTTGACATAAACTGCTGACTCAATCATTTCAGTGGTTATTCCTCAGATGAATTTCATTCCTAATGAAAACTGTGGTTTCAATGAGGATTATGCCGATAGGTAAACCGGATCCAAGCGTGTGCACTCTACTATGAGGTATACTTATTAATGTCTGAGGACTTACATATACTTATTCTCTGGTTGAATGAAAAAAAAATCTCCAAAAGTATGTTTGGAAATTAATGATGGGAAGGGGCTAGCAGTGGAATACAAGATGTGCGTTCTGTCCTATTTTAAACTTGTCAGCTGTATGTACCTGTCTGCCAGTGAGCGATGTCCAGAGCATTATCCACTAGGCGGAGACGACCAAGTTATGATAACCATTTCTTGTGTAATATAACTCAAGCAACAATAGAAATTACATAAAAGTTATTAGATAACTTTATTTGTGAATACTCATTTCTCAAATCAATGCATACATATCTATATATAGATAGTTGTTGGTAACATGAAGCTCCCATCAATGGTTTAAACAATTGCTTGCCAATAAATAACAACAGGAAAAACAAATATAAACCAATACGTAAGACATGAATATACATCTCTTTAGTAAGTTGGTATAACGCTAAATACGCTTACAGATAAGGTTGTTTGGTCAATTTTATTGCTACCTCGAATTTCAGTATTCTTGTGGACAAACCATTCAGCATCAGTCATAAAGTCATTTCTAGTGTAGTTCCAGAAAAAGTATTATTATTATTTTCACATTAAATCAATACTTGGTGTTCAACTGTGCTCCAGGTTGAAATCCCACTCCACCTATTTCTGCCTGGTATTATTATCACAAGCCTTCACACATATGTTTGGCTTATAACCTCATACATACATTTTCAACTACAAAAAAAAATACTACCTTGCAATAATTCGATTGCTGATGATTTTCATAAAAATGAAGCAACTAAACAGTAGATCTATAAAAGGGGAGTGTTAAAACAATGCAAAATGCTATGTTCAAACAGGTTATCGAATCACAAGTAGTTAAGATGTAACAAACCAAGTTTTTCAATATGATGACAATCAAACTACGCTTACTTGTTCATATAAAATGAGAAGGATAAAGGCTTTCTTTGGAGTACAACCAACTATCTCGTACACACACACACACACACACACAATCATATATCTATAATAATTATTAAAAAAAACATCAACAGTGCTTACTTTTTCTCGTTGTTGAGCGCAAATTTCATTGAATTCAATTGCATTCAAACACCCACTTAGTAAATTATCTTCTTCATAAATTTGAGACACTTTTGAGTTCCTTCACTATCAGCTACATATGGATATATGAATGACAGTAAAGAAAGTATAAAAAAAAACACATTATACTAACAAGTAAACAATCATACGTACCAGTTACCAGAGTTTATGAAAATTAAATCTTGTCATAAAAATTGTCTTAAACAAACAAAACAGTTTTCATAGCACATTAATATCAACTAGAGAAAAGTTTAAAAATCAGAGATACTTAACAGTTAGCTGTTTCTTTTCAGCTTCGAATTTCTTAGCGGTGCATATGTAGCAATCCATGAGGAATTCAACCAAGAATCATCATACATAAAGGTGAATAAATTACCATTGAGACGATGGATTGAAATTTAACGCTTCGAAAAGATGGGCATACACTGGACAGATGAAAAGACCCCAGATGAAGATTTGGATTTCCGCCAATGATGATTTGTGTCTAGTGTCTTGTTGCACAAACTCGAAGATCTACGGGCGAAAACTAACAAGTTGACAGAAGAGGCAGCGAAGACGGGACTTCAAGTGAATATAGAGAAGACAGAGGTGATGAAGATATCCAACCAACAACAGCATCAACAACAAGAGGCACCAATAACCATTAACGGGAGAAACCTAAAGGAAGTTGTCTCTCACCTATCTAGGCAGCATCCTATCAACTACAGGCGGCACAGACGAGGACGTCAAAGCCAGCAAGACAGGCGTTCATTAACCTGAAACCAGTGTTGAGATCTTCCGCACTCAGAATAAAGCGTCAACAACATCCGGATTTTCAACACTAATGTCAAGTCAGTGCTTCTATGTGATGGTTGAGAGACTTGGCGCGTTACGAAAAGCATTTCCAATAAACTACACACATTCATCAACAACTGACTACGCTGGCTCGTTACTTAAGATCAGATGACCGGAAATAATAAGCAACAAGGAACTCTGGCCTGACAACGAACCAACCAAGAACCTATCGCTCAATAAATATGCAGAAGGAAGTGGAGGTGGATTGAATTGGGCATACACTGAGAAGACCGACTGGGAACATCACGCTCCAGGGCCTCAAGTGGAATCCAAAGGGGAAACGATGAGTTGGGCATGCGAGGGTGATATGGAGAAGATCATGTGAGGAAGAAATGAAAGCTTGTGGGCAGTTGTGGCGCCAGGCTTTGAAGACTGCAGAGAACAGAGTGCAATGAAGGCATGGTACTGAATCCTTATGTTTCACTAGAAACCCAAGGGAAAAATAAGTGATAATAATACTTCCAATTCGTGATAAAATGCAACTAAAATTACACACGAAACTGGAATAAATTCTCAAGAAGCCTGAATTCCCTCAGGGATATTGTTAATTGGACAAAGGAGTATTTAGTGTTATATTACCCAATCTTCAATGCTTTCGACCTAATTCAATAGACTAGTTTTATCAAGCAATCAGAGAATAACAATAGTTAACTGAATTTTGCAGCTAATATCATCAGTGAAATCGTTAAAATTGTGATGCTTTACAATATACACCCAGTCTCTGGGTGAATGTATATCTCAATAAGGAAGTAGAAATATCTTTACTGATGAATCACAATCAGAACATTTAGGTTGACGGTTATCTATTCAACAGAAAAACTGATTGACTGACAGACAAATTTAAACGTAGAACCTGGCACACAAGTGCATGGGCTCAAGTCGCCACACTTTACAGTAAGAACACAAAGAACAAGTGGATAAAAAAGGAATGATATCAGATTATATAAAGTGGTGTGAGAGAATAAACAATATGAAGATAAAAGTTAGTGCAAATATGCCAAGTTTTAGAAGACTTCAATGAGTTAATACATTTACGCAATTGTGACGAATTTTCAGCCATGTCACCAAGAGTCAGTCATCAACCACCGATTTTTATTGTCTTGTGAACTGCAACCAGGTAGTCCGTGACTCCCTACACGTCTCAGACCAAAATACGGGGACTTCATCGACTGGTTGCAGGTCTTGACCACTCTGAACCCTCCTTCAACCTTATCCAACTTCCTCTAGCATAGCACATCGAAGTAGGCGGGGACTCAGCATTCCCAATCATGTCCAAGCCACCACAGCCAATGAAGGTTGACAACCTCATCAATCGACTTGTCTGGTACCCTTCGCCTAACTTCAACATTGCTCACACAGTGATGCCACCAAACACGAGCAACGCTAGGAAGATACCTGTGATCCAAATCCTATAACTGACTTTCCTGATAGCCAGGTGATAAAATAATAGGATGGCACAAAAACCACACGAAAGCTTAAATACAAAATAGCAACAGATCAAAAACCTTTTGCTTGTTAATAAGTATGTATTGTTATGTCCATTATGATTGTCCAGACCATTAAGAAAAGCTCAACCTCCCTGAAATCCTCCACATCCAATCTAAACAGCCAGAAGTCTCGAGAAATCTAGAGGTTATTTTTTGAGAAGTCACAAGTGTACATCATTAGCATATCATGTTATGTCAGTATCATATGATGAGATACACACAGTCAAGATCACTTATTCAAGAAGTAAGGATCTATGCTGAAATAAAAGTTAACAGCATTCTTTAAAACCGATTTGCATGATATTACATTCCACAGAAAATAAAGCTAGGAAAACACTAGCTGACTTTGGTTTTACCTTTCACTATGTTGTTATATGACGTGAAAGTGTGGTTTCGCTTTCAAACGACAAATCATAGATTTAAACCCTACTTCGACCTAATTTGGTTTAGGAAACTTCATAGCATCACAAATCTTTAAACATTATAGATAGGTTCATGATATTTCAGTGATACTGCATTGTATCTTATAAGCATGTTAAAGTTATTCGGAATAAATTATACTTTTTCGCATGTAAAAACCGGGTAGTGAGCTGCTGTTCTATGCATTTAGTTGAAGGCTTAAGGAAAGCAGTGAAGTCGATACTTCCAATAATGTCAGCAGATCCCCCACTTGAATACCACCTTCACATTTTATCTAGTTTTCATTTTCACCAGGTAATCCACTCAGTGTTATCAATATCCAGTAGTAGCGTATAACACATTTGCACCACCTATCTATTTTCCTATTAAATTCAGAGTGACTTAAAGGCTATCCTAGCAACTGGTGAAACAACCAATCATGTTCCTCTATTCTACAAAAAATTACTATCCAATCCAATATACGGCAACGTGATTGGTTTTCCTGATAGTTGTTACGGTGACCTACGAAAGTTGGCCTCATCTATCTTTCAACGTTTATTTGTTTTGTAAGCTAATTTTATGATGAAGTTACAAAAAAGAACAATTAAAAAGATATCAATTCAGCCATCTATCCGTTCAGAAAAGCATGCCTGAGAACTAATGCTAAACTTTTACGCTGTTGAAAAAATCCTGTTCAACTACTCTAACACCCACACATATCACATAGAACAAAAAATATATGCATAGAGGTATTATATCAAACATGCATTCTTCATAAGATGAGAAAGATAGCGAAATAATATGAAAAATAAATTCTACCACCTATGACTATTAGTGATTAACTCAATATTATGAAGAAAAAACATAGTTGGATGATTTGTCTAATTGGTATACTTTTAGAGTTGTTCAAATGTCTATCGTAGAAAGCCTTCAACAGACAAACCAAAGATTAGATCAAAGAGTCTTTGTTGACTGATGCACACTGGGCTTTCCAAAAACCAAAAAAAAGAGGATAAATTATACGATAATATATACAGACGATATAATGCAGTATAGTGATCAAGGTAATGCAACAGCACTAAGAGAATGTGTGATAACAGAAAAAGAAAAAAACTGAGAAAGATAAACACAGTTTTATAATACTGTCTAATTATGGCTCAGTATATAATTACTAATTACTTTTGTAATATAACTTTCAGATGAAAAAAAAAGAAACTATAATATAGACTTATAGAAAACAACAGCTTTGTTTTATCAAGCAAGTCAACAAAATATTTTATGACCTCAGAATAGAAATTTCAAACAAAATCTTAGTATAAAAAGAAAATTCTACAAACTGTAAAACAGGATAGAATTAGACTTCTTCAAGAACACAATTTTATGTATTGTTGTCCACAGGAATCATCTTGAAGCATACTTTACCATTTCATTAAATGGAATCTATTGCTTTTAGCCTCCAAGACAATATAAACAGTTAAACATCAGACAATATACACCATGATCAAGCCCATAATTCAGTGTAAAAATAACGGAGAGGGTATGTATGTGTGCAGATATACTTTGTGGAATGCAAGAAATTCTTTTAAAAAAATGTTGACGCCAAAAACGCCTAGTTATCTGTATTGATTGGTCACGGGAGTGCAACCAATTCCAAGTTGTCTAGTCCTAAGTACAGACCGAAATGCTCAGTGATAAAGTCCCTGGCTACAACACTGGGTGACGCGGGTTCGAATCTCAGGCGGGACATCAGTTCCATCCAGGTTGCAGATACACCTTGCTGACAAGTGCCAAAAAGCAAGAAACCTAGGTCAAGGGCTTCCTGCCGATTACCTCCAACCAACTGACGCCTGGTTATCATTGAAAGAAAAAGGGCGGGACGGGAATCGTAGAAGAGCTGTTTATTGAAATATCAATTTGCTGAAGTAAGACAGCGAGAACTACTAACCAGTCTAAAGATCACTATCAATCACTTTATTTATGATGCTACTGGTGCACAACAACTGGTTCTCCAAAGTGAATCGTCTTTTCAGTTGTCTGGACAACCACGCTTCACCATTTCAATTGTCTACGTTAGGCTACAAACTGAAGCTAAAGAGAAGGATGAGCCAGCTTGAAAGCAAATCACAGTGAAGACAAAAAAGCTAAGTAGGATAAAACGAAAGCAAACAGTCGTTTACACAAGTCAACTAACTCTTAAAGATTGTTTGAACCAAAAAAAAAATACGAAGTACTGACCGCTACAATCTTCAGAATCGGTTCATCCTTTTTTAGATGAGAATGGATACCAGGCAGATTTCACAGATAACCATGTG